ATGTGGCTGTGAAGAAAGCTAATGCAATCTTAGGATGCATTAACAGAAGCATTGTGTCCAGATCACGGGAGGTGGTAGTTCCGCTCTATTCTGCTATGGTCAGGCCTCACCTGAAGTACTGTGTCCAGTTCTGGGCACCACATTTTAGGAAAGACTTTGACAAGTTTGAGTGTGTCCAGAAGAGGGCAACCAGGATGGTGAGAGGGTTGGAATCCAAGTCATATGAGGAAAGGCTGAAAGATTTGGGTATGTTTAGCCTGGGAAAGAGAAGGCTTAGAGGGGACACAATTGCTGTCTTCAAGGATTTGAAGGGCTGTCATGTAGAAGATGGAGCAGATCTATTCTCTCTTGCTCCGGATTGCAAGACTAGATCTAATGGGTGGAAATTACAAAGGAGTTGTTACTGGCTAAATATCAGGAGAAACTTCCTGACTGTAAGAGTGGTTGAGCAGTGGAACAGACTGCCTTGGGAAGTGGTGGATGTTCCTTTGCTGGACATTTTCAAGCGGAGGCTGGACGACCATCTTTCGGGTATGTTGTAGGGCTATCTTTCGGCTATGCTCCTGCAGAGTTCAGGGGGTTGGACTAGATGACCTGCAAGATCCCTTCCAATGCTAACATTCTATGATTTGCTTAGTTTCTGCGGGACTTACAAGGTTGAATGGTTCAGGTTGGCCTTTAGAGGTTAACCAGATGCTGTGGGCCGGCTTGATAGTGTTATGATGTGGAGTCACATATCTTAACATTGCGTACGTATTATTTGATTTTGTTGGTTGTTGACATTTATGATGATGTTCTTTAAGTGTCGCAAGTCGCCGCGAGTCTCTCTGGGTGAGTGGCAACTAAAAAGCCCTAATAAATAATTTAAAAAAGAAAACAGAGCTGGGTCCCACTGAAGCAGAAACAGTGCCGTTTGCTGTGGGTGAGCTCAGCTAAGGCCGCTGCCTTTAACGACTCTCTCTTTCTCTCTCTTTCTTGTGTCTTTGCAGCACAGAGTCCGACCGCAGCCGACCCCTTGCAGCAAGCCTACGCAGGAGTGCAGCAGTATGCAGGTCGTTAGTATTAACACTTTCCCCCAATAAATCTTTTGTTTCTCTGGTGCCCCCTACAGGCGGCACCCTTCATTGCGGATGCGCAGTAGAGGGATCTCACAAATGTACCATGCTAACCCCTCCCCTCCGAGGGATACTTTTCATTGGATGTGGATGTCCCCCGTCGGAGGATATTAAATCCCCACTGCTTCAGCTAGATAAAGCTAACTTTACAACTTCGTAGCTGGGTTCGTAGGCATCGCATGAAGACCTTTCGTGTGTGTGTCAAGTGCCGTCAAGTTGCTGCTGACTTACGGCGACCCTATGAATGAATGATCTCCCAAACGTCCTGTCATTAACAGCCTCGCTCAGGTCTCACATGGCTTCCTCGATGGGATCAATCTATCTCGTGCTGGATCGTCCTTTTTTCCTGCTGCCTTCAACTTTTCCTAGCCTTATTGTCTTTTCCAGTGACTCTTGTCCTCTCATAATGTGACCAAAGTACGATAGCCCCAGCTTAGTCATTTTAGCTTCTGTGGAGAGTTCCGGCTTGGATACCGTTTACGAACACAAACACATTTTACAAGAAGAACTTTTCAGAATCATAGGCATGTAGTAAAGACAGCATCTGGTAAATCTCCATTAAGGGAGGGTCTCTGGCTCAGTGGCAGAGCATGTGCTTGGCATCAGAAGGTCCCAGGTTCAATCTCCAGCATCTCCAGTTGAAAAAAGATGCAGGCAGCAGGTAGTCTAAAAGACCTCTGCCTGAGACCCTGGAGAGCCGCTGCCAGTCTGAGTAGACAATACTGATTGTGCTGTACCAGTTGTCTGATTCAGTATAAGGCAGCTTCATATGTTCAAAAGTAAGTCAGATGTTGGAAGATTTCGTTTCCAGTTGAACTTTTGAACTGTTTCTGTAGTTCCGTAACTGAGATCCTTTGACTCTTTTCAGCTAGTTCTAAGTAACTCTTCTCCATAGTTTCACTCAGCCAGACACACCCTTTTCCCTCTCAACTCCCTGGCTGCCAACTCCCAACAGCTCTCTTAACTGCTGTTTTCCAGTTGTCCACTCAACAACTTCTCATCAGCTCTCATTGGTCATTCTTAGGGAGTGTTGAAACCTAACCTGTCAAGGAAGGAAGGAAGGAAGGAAGGAAG